GGGGGGGGGGGGGGGCTTCAAACTCAGTGCCAAAAGAAATCATTCGTTTGCGGACAAGGGATGTTTGACGAGTTCATTTATTAAAAATGAATAGTTTTGTTGTGAAGTTATACTGATTGACACCGATTTCATCTTAACAAAATAGAAGCCGAAGCAAACGGACTTTCAGTATCTATCATCAATACTTGCAGATATAGATGAATGCAGTCAGGACGCCTGTTCGGGCATGACCAATTCCGTCTGTGCAAACGCAGAGGGAAGCTACGAGTGTAAATGCAAAAAAGGCTTTCGAAAGAGCGATGACGAAAGTACCTGTGAAGGTATGAAAAAGAACTCCAACAGAACTTTTCGTTACAGATTAAACGTTGCTTTGAAGGGATTAAGACATGAAACGTAAATTCCGAATTCAACCCGTATAAAGTGCGGGGCCAGTAGGTTAGAGTTCAGGGATTGGATTAAAAACATCCTGCATAGATATGAGGCACTAATAAAGTCGCCAAACGTCTGCTACGGGCCTGCCCAGTTGCAATTGTCGCTGTTAAAGTCTTCAAAGAGCTAGGAACTCCATTTCGGGAGAAAAGTTAAGATCTTCACTAACATACTGGATGATACTTTCAGCGATAAAAATCAATTTTTGTTACGTAAAAATTATTTGACCATGCTCACCGGTGGAAAGTCTGCTGGGTTTGTGAATGCGCACTCGCACAATAGGTCACGTGGCTCTAAAGTTTTGCTTATGCACAAGTCATTTCAAACCGAACCACAAGTGAAATCCCCGCCAAACCTCCGCTCAGTCCCCGCATTGTATAGCGAATCCGTGAAAAAAAGTGCATTCCCCTACTACCGGGGAACCTAAATTGAGTGAAAACAAGGTGAAAGCCCTCGGTTTGCCCCAAATATTCCCCAATCGGGGGGAGGGGGGGGAGGCGGGGGATTCAAATGACTGGTTCATTACTAATATATTCTTACATCGCAGCTGGCGCAAATCAAATTTGCCAAGAAGGAGTATGTTCATGTTCCCTCGGATTTGCCAAAAACAATGACGAGGAATGCGAAGGTAAGATCCTGCATTTGTGGTTGTACAGTAATTTATATAACTGCAGTGTGAAAGATTTTTGGTGATTCCTTCCTCACTTTCGGAAAGAGCGTTTGCCTTTGACTAAGAGTATAAGTAACATCTGTTTCGGGTTTTGAATCTTCTTCCCTAGCGGAGTGGGTGGTAGGCCACCGTGGGTGGGAGTGGAATGTGTAAGGTTTGGCCACATCAGTTTTCTTCATAAAATTGAAATGATATCGCAAGAAATTTCCTTCATCCTTGCAAAAATTGGTTTTACCTGATCAGTGTTAATGAATAAATAAACCTCCTTTTGTCGCGAAAATGTGCATGGAATTTTTCATTGGGTATCTCAATCTCACGATTTCCTTGCTAAACTAAGAAACTAGCAGATGACGTCGGCAAAAATGGAAATTTAGAGGCAAGATGATAAGTTAGGATATCAACACCGCTTCCTCCCTCGAGTGTAGATCTGAAGTTACTTAGTAATTTTGAGGAGATAAGCCGATTTTCAAGTCGAGATTTTCGTTTCAGATGTGGACGAGTGTTCTCAACATGAAACTCCATGCGGTGCTAATGAAGAATGTTTAAACGAACAAGGGACGTATTCTTGTGTGTGCCTATCAGGATATAAGAAACAACACAAAGTTTGCGTGAGGAAAGGTGAGCGTTCAATTAAATTATCAACAATAGACCATTTTACAATTGTCTGTTCAGTGACCTGGCCTTTGAATAGCAGCGAGGCTGCAGATGACCCTGTTTTGATAAAGACCTCACTGCTTTTGTTGTGTAAACCAAGTTTTTCTTATGCTAACTAGATGCCATTTAAATGAGAAAATCAGAGAGGTCTGTATCACAACAAGGTCATCTCCGGCCTCGCTTGCGTTCAAAGGCCAGGTGACTAAACACACAACTCTAAAATGACCTATTTGCACCGAGGAACCAATACACCGGTCGCCTTCCATTGCCAATATTGTTAACCTAATAGGTTGGTTAATTACATTACTTGTACATTTTTTTTCCTCTTTCACCTAAAGCATATCTGACAATAATCATTTACTGAAGAAGCCACAATGACTTATTTCGCCCAATTTATGGGTTTTTATTGAAGTCGTCCATAATTCAATTCCAAGAAATTTCGCTGAAATCAGCTTAATACCAAGCAAATAGCAACACGGAACACTTTATTTTCATGGTGTATTGCCAACTGTAATTTGAGCAGGGTTCTTGCCGCCTGAAGTACCCTAGACGCAAATCAGGAAAGCGACGTGCATCAAAGACAATGAACAATTATTGGACGAGGTTGAGCAAAATATCGGAATATTTCAGTGGCGAGCAGATCAATTATTTGCGGAAGCTGAAAGCTGAGGCAGACATCGTGATCTGCGAGACTCGCCCGAGAATTCTTCTCATTTCTAAAGGGGATAATTGAACCATGCGCTAAATCAAGTAATCCACATTACCTTTTTTAACTCGTTCCTTAGACAAATGTAACTGCAAACAGCACGAAGTATGCCTCCAGGGAAAATGTAAGTGCAAGGAAGGATACAAGAAGAGTACAAAAGGATACTGTGTTCCTCGTCGAAGTAAGTACTGCGTGGCATATGGCATATGCTCAAGTTAAAGGAGCTCATTAATTTGGCCGCGTATAAAATTACCTTAGCATTAAAGGAAACCTGAAAATACTAGTTTACTAACATGGAGAAACACAAAAGAGATAATGATAAGCCATTAAGGAACAAGGATGGAGAAGATTAACACGGATTACAATCGACCAACTTGAAAAATTTGGTCAAACTTTTCAATATGCACAAACCATTGCACAGTGATGGAACACTTGCATAGAGAACCTGGACCAAATTTATACCCTGGTTAGCAGTAACCCGTTAAAAGAACTTCTTACAGGTTCAAATTGTTTCCTGAGATATCTGAAATCCTTTCTCTTTTTCCACTTCTAGGTGAGAGTTTAAAGTTTAGCTTGGGCCTCTCGTTACACGACAACTGTTTTCCAAGCATCCTCTTTCTGGGCGTGCTTGGGCGCCTGGCCTTCACAGAGTAAATGGGACCGCGCCTTCTTGCTTCTACTGCCTGTTTTTTTCTCAACGATGCTTGGCTTTTTCTGGTTTAGTTTCAATTTAACATGTCATCTAATATTGTCTTATTTTATTTACTAACATTACCATCAAATAAACTCACTTTGCCCTTCTTTACACTTTGCATTTTTAATGATGTCTTCGCCCAAAAAAACTTAACTTTATATGGGTTACTAATCAAGCGTGACCGGACAAGATGGCTGGATATTTGCAAAGTTCTTTTCTGCGTGTTTATGGATCGAGACGGAGTCGAGGTCCATAACTACGCAAAAAAAAGAGCGAGGCCAATGCCCAGCCATCTTGACCAAATACGCTTGGTCAATTCTTGGGTTTCACGTGACGTCACAAGCTTTGATCAAATCAGTGTCCGCCATGTTGGTGTCCCTCGGGTGTCAATTTTATGCTAATAATAGTCCATTTCTATCGTGAAGCTTCTCTATTATCGCTCTATTATTTTGACAAATACATGAATTTCCAGAAAGAAAAAAGCGATAAACGTACCGGGCATTTATCTAAAGGTATCCCAGTGCTCTCTGAGTATGCCAAAAGCTTAGGGAGTCGAGTGAAGGAAAGATATTCGCAAAAGATCTCGGTCACCGGGGTTGACCCGGCCCCGCAAGCATAACAGCCGAGCAGTTCAGTCCAGAATGCTTGCCTCCTGTGGAAGTCTCGGACTAGTTGAGTTACCTCGTTCTTGAGACCAGCTTCTACACCAACAAGCAATTCAAGGCGTTCAAGGGTCTGGAGGCGTTTAATCAAATGGTGTCGGGATTTGTAACCTCAGTTGTAGGCAAAGTAATTGCCGGCAAGTATGTTGTGAGAGCAAGTGTTCGGCATTCACCGCGTATGAATGATCCTTTAGTGAACATCGCGAGTGTTTTATTTTATTTAGAGGCAACTACACGAATTCACAGCAAGCTCGCTTGCACACTGATAAAATGCTCATGGATTTTGCCGACATATGTCAATAACGTGCCGGATGCGAGGGCTAAGGACATCGATTTTTCATCGACTAACAAGCTCAAAGAAAAGCTCGACCAGAAAATTGAGGATCTACAACAACCGCAAGCCTCGAAGCATGCAGCAGCTTCTAGTTCTGGGACTGCATCAGCCGGCGCCTCAGCGCATGCAGCGCGCATCGACGCCTTCGAAAGAGGAAGTGGATCAGCTTTTATGCCAAACTCAACCAGTGCAAAATTAAAGCAGTAGCTTTAAGTTTAATTGATCCTTTTGCTGACCAATTTATCAACCAAAGCCGCTCTGTTCCGGTAGTTTCAGAGCGAAGTGTTTGCTACAAACTCGTTCACTCTCTAGCACTCTCTTGTTTGTAGCGTCGCCGCGACTCACCGCAGAAATCCACTCGTTTCTCCTCCTAATAGTGAGTTTCTCCTGTTCATCCCCTTGATTTGTAATAATCTTAGGTATAAGAGAAAACCCCTAAGCCCTTACGATTTCCACTTTTGCTCGAACAGCCAACAACAACGCATAAAACCATCCCTTCTTTCTCACATGAACTCTCCTTTGGATACGCTTTGTTTATGCTTGAGGGACACCAAGAGGGCGGATAGTAACCGTTGCTAAGCTATTGGTCACGTGGGTGAAACCCAAGAATAATTTTAATACGGGAAAAAAGCACACTGTTTTCATGCGGAACACGGCGGGTAATCCCTGGCGGGTAGATAGATCTGAGTCAGTAATCATTACAGTAGATAATCAGCGTAGTGCCAAATCAGTTTTCCGCTTTAGATTAAAAGGACGTTGACTTGTAGATTTCTAGACTTTTTGATTGTTCATTTCGGCGAAACAGTTTGCTTTTACACGATCACGGGTCTCTCGGCTCCTCAATCACGAAAGGCGTAGAAATCCTCACCAATACTAGTTCAGCTGTTTACTTAAGAGAAAATAAGCTCATCATTGTTAGCATAACATAACTACAAACTGCCATGTGGACACGCAAACTGATTGGCTACACTGAATGGCGGCGAGCAACGAGCAATAAACTACAGTAGGAGCTAGGTAGCTTATCTTTTAGAATAGTTTCCATTTTAATCTTCGTTAGGTTTTTATTGTTAGACCGGTGATCATTGGCCCGCTGTCTAGATGTCTCCTTGCATACGGCGACTGCGCGCGAGGTACGAGCGTCAGTCAAAACCAAGCTGTTCTTCCGAAACGACAAGATAATAGTATTTTTCGTAAAGACATGATTGATCATCGCAGTCAAACACACAACTTTTTATCTCTTAAAATAAATTTTATATCGCTAGCGTAAGAAAATTTACATTAAAACCCGAGTAAGAATCGAGTGACAGTTCTGTTAGCTGGAAGAGCTGTTTCTGACAGTTCTGTATGCAGGATACGATATTGGAAAAATCTAATTTGTCAAATGTTTGTCCTTGCCAAGAGTCGACAAGAGCTATGAACTGAACGGGAAAGCATCGATTCTCTTTATTTCGCCTTTGAAAAGAAAGACCAGCCGTGGGAGATGGAATCGCTGGGCTATCCTTCTGCCGATTGCTCCAATTTTCCTGTGTTATTCGCCGATGCGAATTTAAAATACTAGCTAATCTTCCACCGCCTCATAGTTCGTAGCCGAGGCAGTTTTACATTGCTTGAAGTTACCATGAGCTGTGAATAGAACACAATATAATTCTGCAGCGTTTCTAATTTTGCGGCCACATCAACTTTTCCATTGAATTAAAGCGAAGAACAACAGTCGACCAGTCGCTGGACTTCGAAAACCTTTGCACTGATCAGACTCGATACTATACCACAGAACCTGCATAGATTACTGCAACCGTATCCATTTCTTTCATTCCCTATTTTCGAACTCTTCGTGAGAGTAGAGGATATTCCCAAGGTAAAATAACCTCATGATCGCTTTGTTCTTCTGTTGAGATATTCCCATTTTCATACTTTGATAATCTATCTCGCCGTGAAATTATTTCAATTGACTAAATTCCCGCAGGAAGTCAGTTATGCCGACAAACACGCGCCAGTTTATGATTGGCGTACCTGTTGACAGTAATCGACAGTTGATGAGATCGGATTACATCGGAACTGGTGGGCGTAATGCAAAAACCCGGTTCTTAGAGCAGGCGTTACGGGACATGTTCTTCCTTTCTCCCAGTCCCCCCCCCCCCGCCTTCCATTCGCGCTTTGTCTCCCCCCTTAAACAACCGCTACGCAGGCTAATCAGACATGGGAAATTGTTTTTGGTGTTATCTCTGGCAACTATTTATACCTTTAGCAGTTTCATACATCTTTAGCTTTTAGAAAATGTACAAAGGACTGTAATATACTCAAAGTTACTTTGGCACAAGGTTTTTGTCCATTAAAAACTGAGATTGCTCGACTTTCTTTCAGATATCGTTTTAGTGATTCTTACTTCTGAAATATACTCCGTTCCCTGAATAAATGCCAACATACCGGCAAAATCCATCGAAGCACAGTCCTTGAGGAGATTTGCAATAAATACTAGAGGAACAACTCTTTCTATGCGCTAAGAGGCAAAAATGAAATCAGCATAACTATATTGTTCAAAAAAATACTACAAACATAATAGCGGAGCAGAGCAGCCAAGCGCGCGGAGCACCATAAACACATGCATGCATAGCATTGGAAACCCGTGCAACTGTTTTTTCATGGTCAACACGCCGAGCGGCATGGATCGCAAGCGCGTGCACCCAACGACGACGACGTCGCCGCATAGCATGGCGGTCATCCAGCTAATACCAAGTCATGCAGTCTTGGTTTACAGCACGTGTCTTTGATATTGAACATCCATGTTATGGTCAATTGACACTTGTCAAAGCAAGCTATCCGTTGACCAGTATCAGGTGACCATATCGCGCGCTCAGGTTAAGAGCTCATCGACGTCATGTGTATTTTGGAGTTGACCGCTGACCAAGGACTGGCTTTCGATAGGATCGCGGGCTCATGCCAGGTTTATTTGTTAAAATAAGGGCGACGATCAGGGCCAGGTTGTTCGGAAGGTGGTTAACGCTAACCCAGGATTAAAAGTTAACCGAAGTCCAACTTTTTCTTGCATACGAATGTTTTTCACTGCTTTTGAGTCATGGGCTGCGTTTGCAGTTTGAGATCATTCAAACTGAAAACAGAAGGCCAAACAACATAAACAGAAAACCTCACAAAATATAAACAACCTTGCGAAACTCAAACCAAAATTCTCGCTTATCCTGTGTTAGGTTAATCAGGCTTTAAACAACCCGGCCCAGGGGCTCTTTATTTAGGCTTGGCTAAATCTATATATTATCTTGATATCTACACAAAAACTACCAAGCTAACTACATAAAAAGTTGTTAGACCAAAAAAATTCAAAATGGCGGCCATATTACACTAACATGGCCGTTCTTTCGTCTTCATCCCCTTTTCAACCCGTTGAAGAGATGGGATTCTAATATCGAGAGACAAAGCACCAGGCGACAGAAGACTGTCTTAATGTAAAGGCTTGTCCAAACGAGAAATGTTTGGCGACCAAACACCATCAAACAGTGTTTGGTGACCAAATATTTTACCGTTTGGCCACCTTGTTTGGTGCTGTTTGATCGTGTTTGAAAAAATTTGAAGGCCATCAAACATTCGATCAAACAACTTAAAACATTTCTTT